GAATAGCTTGGGCTCCGACACTTTGATATTTTGCCTGATATTTGGTCCTGAATACCATTTAAACGCAGCCCATTTTGAGACCATTCAGGACTATTCCGAGTTATTCTTATCATACACTGAGGCATACCAGACGACTCCTGAATAAACTGGGCTCCGACACCGATATTTGCCTGATGTCTGGTCTGAATACCATCTAAACACAACCCATCACGCGCACTGGATCCACAAGTGCTACCACCCCATACCCTATTTTTTCCAAATCAGCTTCGGAGACTCCACCATGGAAAATGGGGCCACATTCCACCCAGTGCGAACCAATGATAGGAACAAGAAAAATTGTAAAGTTTAATAATTACTATTTATTAAACCAAATAGTTTGACATTCTTATTTGCATAACTTTGCAAAAAATTAATGGTGTTGGCATTACACTTCTCTGAGTCGAGACCTTGACTAACATTTGTCAGGTTAAATTGCTAACAATGTTGTTCTGTGATAAAGGTGTTTCACCTTTAGAGGGGGTTGGTTCAAAATCACACAAGGATTCCTCCACCCTCTACCAGCAAAATACGAGTATCTGTACTATACTGGAAAAGTGAATTCCCAAATGTAACATCCCTTAGAAATGATCTGAATATTTATTAAGTTAATTTCATTCTTAAAATGTGTGCCATCTCTTCCTTGTCCTTTGCTGCTGTATTTTCTGCTTGTTCATCATTTTTTTTTTCTCAGCTGAACATAAGAGCATTAGGTGCTTGGAAATCTGTAGAAATGACTGAATGGTCTCCGTTTCTGAAATATAACAAAGTTTTCAAAATTATGCTAAAACATCAAGGTACAGTGGAGTTATCATCACTCAGCTTCTAGTCCTATAATTCTTTACCCAATTCCCCAACTTAAGGTTTTATTAGGACAAGTAAACATTTGCCATTTTAAAGATTTAAGCTAATTTGTTATCATTATGAGGGACTTGTGGCCTAAATATACAATTCAGGCTTTGCTATGAATTAAATCATTGATTCAACAAGAAAGAAACTATAATGTGGGATCAAAATTTGGTTTAATATCTAAGCTTATTGTAAGCATGGATCTAAGGTTTCAGTATGTCATTTCATCTTGTGGATCCATACCTGCTATTGACAGGTGTTGTTTGTTTGTAAATGACTGCGTTCCATGATTTGCAAAATGGTTGATTGGTGCCATTAAAACCATTTTATGGTTAACCATGTATCAAGTGCATAAAGGTTAGACTAAAGTAGCTGTTTGCCTAAAGAGAAGGGTTACTATGAAAGTATTATTTATCCAGTTTTAAATGTATGCAATTTCAAATTATAAATCTATGTGTAAGTATAGTTGGGAATTTTATGTGATCCTTAGCAAAGTGTGAGTAGTATATGTTAGTTTCTAATCAATGCAATATACAATATAACAATCTATAGTCATTAAAATTAAGTTTTGCTATAGCGATTAGAATAGAAATAGTTCTATAAAGATGAAGCCTTGAGTATTCGAGAGCTTTAATCTGGTATGGCTGAAAAGTGAATGGGAGTGACTGCCACTGTCTATGAAGGTGAAATGAGGGTCAGCACTAGTAGTGAGTGAGTTTGGATTTTTTAGCTATGACAATGAGCGGCTTAAACCACTAAAATACCCCTCAAGCCCATCAACCCTAGTAGTAGTAAGCTTCATTAAGCAGATACAGACTGAATACCACAGAGAGAGGGAAGGTGGGGAGGATGTCCAGATAGATACTGGTTAACTTTATTGCTTAGTGTTTATCAAACAAATTGAAATAATGTGAGAAACAAAACAAATTGGCTGATATTAATATGCAGCAACATACACACATGTTTTGGTATATACACAGAGAAATTATTACGGCAATGATAAAATAATCAAAGCAACAAGAAAGTAATTGAACAAAGAGACATTTTAATTAAAACAACATTTTGATTTGACAAAAATGGCAGCATTAGTGTTTTGTATAACAAAGGTCGAACTGAAAATATGTAAAAAGGAGCATTATCTGATTGAACAACTTCTAAAGCCAAACTTCATAAAATTCTGCATACAATTGGCTGAGAGATTTTTTCTCCAAATCTCCTACATGTCATGCCACGATGCAATTCTGGAACCAGTTGATGACATATGTCAGCGGTGTAATGTCAACCAAGTTCTAGCACTGCTAAAGGCTAAGGGTTAGTTATCTAGTTAGAAAAAAGACATGGTATGTTTTCAGATTTAAGAGTTTTTGTTTGTGTATTTGATAAACAGAAATTACATTTAGAGCACATAAGTTCAGCTTGAGGGTTTGAAATGTAAACAATTTTGGCATTGACTACTCAATGGAAACCCACAAATCTAAGAAAACATACAGTATCATTCTGACACTGTAGAATACAAACATGATCTGTCATTTCTGTAATTTTTATCTATCTAGGTGACACATATCATTTGAAGTGTTGAATCATAACTGACATCAGTCAATACAGACTGCAAGGAAGAAATCTTAACCTTTTAGTATGTATGATTTAATACTACATCTCAGTGCACAGTACTACAGCTGAGTGCACAGTGTGACAATAAAACCAACTTACCCATATGATATACCTGAATTACAAACTGATCAGTTGAAACAGCCTCTTTAGGGATACACAGTTTGATTACATTCGACTGTAGTCAAGTGAACTACAGAGAGTTTGGTATATACACTACATATGATGTGTGGCTTAATGGTGTACTGTTGATAATTCATATGATGTGTTGCCCACAGGTCTACTGATTGTATGATGTGTTGCCCTAAAGGTCTACTGGTAACATAAATGATGTGTTGACCACAAGTCTACTAGTGATATATAAGATGCGTTGCCCTTAGGTCTACTAGGGACATATAAGATGTGTTGACCACAGGTCTACTGACTGTAAGATGTGTTGCCCTAGGTCTACTGGTGATATATTTCATGTGTTGCCCACAGGTCTACTGGGGACATATAAGATGCGTTGCCCACAGGTCTACTGGGGACATATAACATGTGTTGACCACAGGTCTACTGATTGTATGATGTTTTGCCCTAAGGTCTACTGGTGATATATATCATGTGTTGCCCTAAGGTCTACTGGTAATATATATATGATGTGTTGCCCTAGGGTCTATGGGTGATATATAAGATGTGTTGCCCTAAGGTCTACTGGTGATATATAGGATGTGTTGCCATAAGGTCTACTGGTGATACATAAGATGTGTTGCCCTAAGGTCTAATGGTGATATATATGATGTGTTGCCCTAAGGTCTACTGGCAATATAAGATGTGTTGACCACAGGTCTAATGATTGTATGATGTGTTTGCCCTAAGGTCTACTGGTGATATATATGATGTGTTCACCACAGGTCTACTGGTGATATATATGATGTGTTGCCCTAAGGTCTACTGGTGATATATATGATGCGTTGCCCTAAGGTCTACTGGTGATATATATGATGTGTTGCCCTAAGGTCTCCTGGTGATATATAAGATGTGTTGCCCTAAGGTCTACTGGTGATAAATAAGATCGTTGCCCTAAGGTCTACTGGTGATATATAAGATGTGTTGCCCTAAGGTCTACTGGTGATATATAAGATGCGTTGCCCTAAGTCCTACTGGCGTGATATATAAGATCTGTTGCCCTAAGGTCTAATGGTGATATATAAGATGCGTTGCCCTTAGGTCTACTGGGGACATATATAAGATGTGTTGACCACAGGTCTACTGATTGTATGATGTCTTGCCCTAATGTCTACTGGTGATATATATCATGTGTTGCCTAAGGTCTGCTGGTAATATATATGATGTGTTGCCCTCAGGTGTATGGGTGATATATAAGATACATTGCCCTAAGGTCTACTGGTGATATATAAGATGTTTTGCCCTAAGGTCTACTGGTGATATATAAGATGTGTTGCCCACAGGTCTACTGGGGATATATATGATGTATTGCCCTAAGGTCTACTGGTGATATATGTGTTGCCAACTTGGGTCTACTGGTAATATATATGATGTGTGTGCCCTAAGGTCTACTGGTAATACATAAGATGTGTTGCCCAAAGGTCTAATTGTGATATATAAGATGTGTTGCCCTAAGGTCTACTGGTGATATATAAGATGTGTTGCCCTAAGGTCTACTGGTAATATATATGATGTGTTGCCCTAAGGTCTACTGGTGGTATATAAGATGTGTTGCCATAAGGTCTACTGGTGATATATAAGATGTGTTGCTCTAAAGGTCTACTGGTGATATATATGATGTGTTGCCCTAAGGTCTACTGGTGATATATAAGATGTGTTGGCCAAAGGTCTACTGATTGTATGATGTGTTGCCCAAAGGTCTACTGGTGATATATATGATGTATTGCCCTAAGGTCTACTGGTGATATATGTGTTGCTCTTAGGTCTACTGGTAATATATATGATGTGTTGCCCTAAGGTCTACTGGTAATACATAAGATGTGTTGCCCAAAGGTCTAATGGTGATATATAAGATGTGTTGCCCTAAGGTCTACTGGTGATATATAAGATGTGTTGCCCTAAGGTCTACTGGTAATATATATGATGTGTTGCCCTAAGGTATACTGGTAATACATATGATTAGAGTTGCCCACAGGTCTACTGGTCATATATAAGATGTGTTGCCCTAAGGTCTACTGGTGATATATAAGATGTGTTGCCCTAAGGTCTACTGGTGATATATAGGATGTGTTGCCCTAAGGTATACTGGTAATACATATGATTGCGTTGCCCTAAGGTCTACTGGTAATACATAAGATGTGTTGCCCTAAGGTCTACTGATAATATATATGATGTGTTGCCCTAAGGTCTACTGGTAATACATAAGATGTGTTGCCCTAAGGTCAACTGGTGATATATAAGATGTGTTTGCCCTAAGGTCTACTGGTAATATATATGATGTGCTGCCCCAAGGTTTACTGGGGATATATAAGATGTGTTGCCCAAAGGTCTACTGGTGACATATATGATGTGTTGACTTAAGGTCTACTGGTGATATATAGGATGTGTTGCCCTAAGGTCTCTACTGGTGATATATAAGATGTGTTGCCTACAGGTCTACTGGTGATATATAAGATGTGTTGACCAAAAGTCTACTCGTGATATATAAGATGTGTTGCACACAGGTCTACTGTTGACCTATATATATGATGTGTTTGCCCTAAGGTCTACTGATTATATGATGTGTTGCCCACAGGTCTATTGAAAATATATGATGTGTTGCCCAAAGGTCAGCTGATAACAGATATGATGTGTTGCCCAAAGGTCCTCTGATAAGGTCTGATGTGAATATATATGTGTTGCCCAATGGTCTGTAAAAAATAACAGATTGGATGTGTTGGCCAAAGGTACGTAAAAAATAATAGATGGGATGTGTTGCCCAATGGGCTGTGATTATAACAGATATGATGTGTTACCCAACATTCTGCTGAATATTAATACATATATATATATAGAAGTTGCCCGATGGTCAACAAGATACATCCTATTCATCATCAACACAGACCTTTAGGACCACACATCCTAGTTGCATACAATGGAATTTAGCTTGATTGATTTACTAATGACCTGCCAGGGATATCATAAAGCAGTCGAGATAAACACATTCTTGACTTTGTATCATGATATATGTTATTGGTGTTCACTATCTTGATATCTAGAAAGAGACACTACTAAAAAACTGGTGGTACCTTTTGACTTCAAGTCATCTGCTGATGAACAGTATATCCACCTTTACATGTCAGTACTTTCTCACAGATACTACATCTGAATCCTGAAAGATAAACAAATAAAATGTATCTGCTATCATGGAATAGAGGTGTCTTCAGTTCTCATTTGCTGAATTTCCTGTATGAAAGACACCAAAAACATTAATGCAAATGTATCAACAATTACATGAATCATTTGATAACAACCCATTTAAACACCTGATACAATTATGTAAAAACAAATTTAATTGAGAGAACCCACCCATCACCCCAACCGACCCAAGTGATATGAACATAATGGTGTCAGAACTTTAATACACCTGATTATCCGATGGAAGATTGAAAGTTTGACAACAGACAAACAACAAAATGTAGGGAATATGTTAATTTGTATACTCTGTATTGAAAAATGCCAATCCTTTCTGAATTGTGTGCACTCTGAAAAACACGACATCAGCTCTCTATAAAACTGTGGTAAGATATGAATACATAGTAACCTAAAAGTGAAAATGATATCTCTATTATAAAAGATATGATTATTGCAGGGATAAATTTTTGAATTGCAAAATGTTTGGACATCAATCAAGTGCAAAAGTCAATAGAAAAGCTTCAAAATGTTGAAAATTACCCTATTGATATTTGAAAAGAAAGCAAATTATGCCAATTTTCAAAATTTCTACATTTTCTGTAAAGATTTCCATGATCAGAACCACAATACTTGTCTGGAACTGTTTGTTATGAGAGTATATACAGTTTTTCTTTAAATTTTTCATATATGTCATCAGAGACAGACTATCTGTATATAAGGCTATTCCATGTCTATTAATTAATCTCTTATTGGCCATTTTGAATTGCTTGATACTTTTATGAATAGTAAAGGTCCTGTATTGAGATAATACCTAAAACATGTATTGCTGCACTTTCGGTACTGATCATTTTACAACCATTCAAGATAACTGTACTAATATTGAGAAGGATTAAAACAACAAATTGCAAAGATTCATGAGGCATTACTTCATCGGTATTGCAAGTTTGTGGTGCGAATTCTAAAGGTAGGCCAGAACAATGTTTAGGTTAGGAATGCCACGATACATCGATACTTTTCTAAGATGATACAATCATTGATGCATTCAAAACTCTGCTCGATATTTAGTTTTGAAAGTATTGATTTAAACATGTTTTAATATGTATCGTTCACATTTTGCAATTGTATCCGTTTTTTTTATGTTATGAGAGTTATAAATGATTATTTTTCATACACAAAGATGGGAAATTAGAACTTTTAATCTCTGAGAATAGAAAACGTGGATCTTTTCAGGGCGACTTATAAAATAAAATATTTAATGTTCAAAATGTAACTAATATTACACAATAATGCAGCGAAAATAGGTATCATGATACATATCGAATCATGTCATGAGTGTCGTGATACGTATCGATTCATGAAACTTATGTATCGCGACATCCCTAGTTAAGGTAGAAATAAATTTAACAAAGCTGTAAAATTGGTATTCACAACTTAAATCTAGTAACATGAAGGTATTGATCTCTGGATCACATAACCTACCACTTCCTCACTTTGGAATGCCTGAGACTCCCCTCAGTTCTGCAATTTGAAGATCACATTTCTCCTCTGCCAAGCTCAACGTGTCTTGGTCCCGTTCATAGTTGTCTGTATTATGTAACATTAAAATGTTAACAATATTATTCTCAAAATGATTATGAACTTAAATTCAAAACTGAGCTTAGGAAATAATATTTTTCTTCTGAACTGATAAAGTATTTAAAATTCTACATGATTTAGTTATCACCCTAACAACATACATACATTATGAATTTACAATGTTTCATATTCAGAAACCATTGTAAATAAAATTAACTTACCAGGCATAAACTGGATTGGATAGGATTTCCATGTCTAACAGGACCATCGAGAGACTAGCAATTAGTCTCTGAATATATATAATTTTGATAGAATCAAAATAATCCTTTTAAACTGAAAAGGAGCTCCAGTGAGATGGGAGATTCCTGAAACTAAGTAAATCTAGACTTGCTTAAATTAGGTCTTTATCATTGCAGAAAGGCATGAGACGAAGTAAAAATAATGCAGTTCAGGAACTATGAGACAGGCTAGATCTTTCCTGACTTTTTACAGTCTATGTCAACTTTGATCTTGAGTTGAAGGGTGACCAAAGGAAAAAACTTGTGCCATCAAGTCAATTTGATTGGAATTAAAGAATACCCATAATATCATAGTTTCACTTTACTCACACAATATACAAAGTTATGTCTTTATTCATGGGGTTGCTTCTAAGTCATGTTCAGGATTTTGTTAGTCATCCATGCATAAGGTAAAAACCTCACAAGTAATACAAAATGTTGATTTCTTTCCAGGTTTATTTTTAATTTACTATTCATAATAATAATCATCGATTCTATGATTTATATCAATACTGTCTGCCCAGTGCTGTTCAGAGATGTTGGTGTTAATCGACAATGCAAACTATTAGCCGATGATGGACCAATGATGAATAGCACACTACCTAAAATAGATGCATCAAAGAGGCATTTCTGAAACTATTATTATGGCTTTGTAAAAGGTTACTTACAACAGGAAGAGGCTTTAATTCTTACAATTTGTACTGAAAGAAATGTTAAACTTCACCTCCATTTTTAAAAAGAGAAATAGTTTGTTTAAGAAACACCCGCTTTGAACAAAATTACCCTTTTATGTAATTTGACTGCTAAGGAACTTAAAACCATAAAGACTAATAACATATCCCTCAGCATAGGAACAGTTGGTCTATTGACCAACCAATAGGATTATAACATGTCTTAATGTGTTTAGTGAGATCCATCCTTGATTTTCAGTTAATCTTATCCTGTCCACTGGTATTTACCCTCTTATCTATGTTACACAATGTACAGGATTTAGACTTTGAAATGAGGAAATGTCCCTGCATTAAGCATACAAAGATAAGAGTAGCTGCCATGGAATTATGAAAGCTCAAAAGGGAATTCTGACTGTATTCATGCACAATATTGAATTAACAGATTCAAGTGCACCAGTGAAGTGGAAAATCTCTAGCATTTGAAACTATATCAAGTTTGGACCAAGTGCAGAAAAATACAAGCGTAACCAACATTTATGGTTGTCAGTTGAGTAACCTGTGAGGTGGGAGGATGTATTGCTCATAATTATGCTGGCTGAGTGGCAGTGGCATGTGGACAGACATGGTTATAGTCCTGGGCCAAATGCAAAGAACAGTTTTTATCTTTTAGGATCTCTCAGCATCAGTAAATGTGTTTTCTGGTAATTAGAAATTCTTGTCATAATCAGCCACAAAATGTATCAGGTTACTAAAAACAAACAAGGTTTGACCCAGACAGCCTTTACTTAGGTAATAAGGTGGAAGGCTACAATCTTTGTACTCATATGGAGATAATTATTATTATTAGCATGAAAATGGTGCAACATATACATTTCATCACTATACACTGATATTTTCACTCTGATAGACCAGTGGAGGAGATAGACTGCACATAAACACCCAAAGGAGCAGGGTTCAAAGCAGAGTACAAAAGCTATATTTGAAAAGTTAGAAACTCTTGATATCAATAATGTAACTGAAACACATTATGGTCCAAGAGAACAAATGCATATTTCCTTTGCATGAACAATTTAGGAAATGTGTAGCTGATATAAAAATGTGTAGTTCAGCTATCAGAGGAAACAGCAAAGAGCAACAATGGAGAGTGCCATTATGAAACTATAACTACAAGTCTTCCTCAACACTGCACTATCAGCTCATTATTTGAGCAAACCCATGTCAATGAGTATTACCCCATGGTCAGAATATGCAGTGTGGGTGATAAAACCGATTGTAATGTGTTATGCTATGTCTACATTTGGCCTATAAGTAATTTTTACTGAAATCAAGTCTTACAGATTTGGTTGGTTCCTGAAATTAGTAATGGTTATTGACTGTTTTTGGTGGTTTATTTATCTATTAGTTGGTAGATATATATTTAAAATAAAAGAAAACAATATATCAGTGCAAAAAGTCAGTCTGATACCCTGAATATCAGGCGTCAGAATGAGAGATGTTTTGGGTTTTTTTGCCTTTTCGGAACTCACCTAAAAGTAAAGGTCAATTTCACCCACTGAGTGAACATAAAATCATACAGCTGTGATTAGCTCTTTCGGTTGTGGATCTACAGTAGTTGGCCATAAGTGAGTCATCAATAGTGAAATTCACATAGATTTTCATGTTAATTAACTCTTGCAAGAATAATTTTCCATACATTTAGTTTGGGTGGAATTGCTTTCAGCACTTATCTACCAGCTTTGTACACAATTTCCTTTCAATTTTCCGAGGATTATTAAGAAGACTGCAACTTCTTAAACAAAATATATTAGACATACCAATCAGGTTTAACATGTCTATGGGATAGATAAAAATAAAGTTGTATTTATGGTGCTTAATCAGGTGTCATTCGATAACTAATCAATGAAAAGATGAAAGAAAATTATGTACACGTAGCTGAAGATGATTTCAAGATGTTTGCAAACTTCTACTCAATTTATGAAAATTATTCTTGCAACAGTTAATTAACATGTAAGTCTATGGAAATTTCACTAATGATGACTCACTTATAGCCAACTACTGTACCCTGTAGTCTGTGTCACAGTCCCCTGAACCACAATATTATTTTCCCTACTGCCTTGCCCTTTCTGCAATGCTAAAGGCCCTAAATGAAGCAAGTCTAGATTTTCTCAAGTTCTGTTTTCCCAGGGCTCCTTTTCAATTTATAATGCGTTTGTTTGTTGATATAAAAAAATCATATTCAGACACTAAGCGATAGTCTAACCCTAGGTGAGGATCAAGAAACAACATGATACGAAACGTCACAATTGCGATCAAGTTACTAGCAAACAGTTTCTTCCAGTTGAGAAATCTTGAAATAGATTGTGTCATGGGACAGGCATCGCCTTTGAAACAATTGTACATGCTGCTGTTTTCAACAAAATACTCCGATTACGATACATACCATGCATTTCCCAATGCTTTGTGCTGCCAAGTCACCTCGTGTAGTGCGCGAAAACTGTAGCAAGGGGATCCGATTTGACACAAAACGTGAACGGGCCTTCGTGTGAAACATGAATTCAATTTATTTACAGATTATTACATTGTTATTTTGATCGAAGAATGAAATGTTTTAAGTATTTAAACGTGTTCTTGGTGGCATATTAGTCTTGTCTGTCAGCTCCCACAGTATCTACAGACATTATTGAATTATTAGCTAAGTGTTCATTTCGACGTTGCCGCTTTTTGAACTTTCACGTTTTGACGCACAGGAGCGTGAAGGCAAATCGCCGAAAGGTACTGCGAGAGCGAAACAGTGATGTTATGCTGGAACACTTGACGATGTGTATATTTGAAAACTGTACAAAACCTAAGAGTATATATTTAGACAATAATTTCTCCATTGTTTATTTCTGAACATATATCCATGTGTTAGAGAATTTTATAGAAAACCACGTGTCGCCGAAAGGTCGCAGACGTTATATATATGATATTTTTGTTTTCAATAACAGCACTGAAATTTTATAAAATACAAAAGAAGCACAATCTGAAGGTCCTGAGACGACCCTCTATCCAACCATCTAGTTTGGAATAGTTATTAAGGAAAATGAACATAGTTGTGACATGCAGATATTTAGGCGACAGAAATATATCCTTAGGGCGACAGCTGTCGCCTAAAGGTCGCACAAATGTCTAAAGGTCGACTTTGTCTATATATATATATATATATATATATATATATATATATATAAAGTGTCACATTTCTTACACAAAGGTACATCGTTCTGTATATACAAGTGTCACGTTACTTACACACACGTTCATCGTACTGTGCATACAAGTGTCACATTACTTACACACACGTTCATCGTTCTGTGTACAAGTGTCACATGACTTACACACTCACACATCGTACTGTATATACTATATGCAAGTGTCACGTTACTAACGCACGGTCAACCGAAGCACGCCATGTTACTTACTCATACATTCATCATAGAGTTATGCGTTACTTACACACGTGTTGATTATACGGTACATTCAAACGCCACGTGTAATGATACTCTCACATAGCATAAACCATGCCTCCTTACTTTAACATATTACTGTAGTATGTTCTTAGATGTTACTCATATCATATACTTAACGTGTGGGGTGGCATATCTGTGTTGTGGCAACACCCTCTGTGTATTTGAAGGGAATATGAACAGTGAGCGGTACACAGATATTCTCGAGGGACATTTACTTCCATCTGCTCACGTGTTCTATGGACATTTTTTTTATTTCCCAGCAGGACAACGACCTAAAACATCGTTCAAAGCATTCACAGGCCTTGTTTCGGGCCCAAAATATGACATTACTAGATTGGCCAAGCTATAGCCCTGACCTAAATCCAATAGAAAATGTTTAGGGGACTTATGAAGGAAAGTGTCAATAAGAAACATCTGACAAATACATGTATTGCTGAAATGGAAGAAGAGGTGGTCCGATATTGGGACAGCATGGACCACGCCTATCTAACTTCTTTGCTCAGTAGTATGCCCCGTCGCATTGAAGCCTGCATTGCAGCCTATGGTGACTTGACAAAATACTAACTGTTCACCTGTCTTTGAATCTGGAGTTATGTTCTGCTAATATTCACATTTAATACGTGAGTAAGTGAAATTACAATCTTTAAATTCTTAATAATTTCTGGTTGTACTGTATGTTCAGGATAAGGTTAATGCTCATCCTTTCTAGAATCTGCTTCACTAAGTTAGGTTTCCTACAGGAGGCTGGTGAATGGTGAATGATCTTCCAAAGACTCGATAGCACTTTCTGATGAATGTGGTTGCAGCTAGTTTAGATGGCGTGCAGGTGTGAGGAGACATTTTGGTGCCGACAGCTAGTGGCAAATCAGCGCTGATGAAGGGGGAGGGCCATGCAATGAGGAGGAGAGAGTTGTTGATGTTTCTGTCTTCTCTGTACCAACGTATTGTCCTGGAAAAAGTCTGATAGCACACGGGACATGCTATTGACTACATGAGGGCTAGAGTCAAAATGATGGCAAACCTGTCTACTAGTTGCTTTTATCTAAACATTCGTCTTCCGTTTCTTCATGTGACTCTGGGAGGAAATGATATTTACGGCTTTCGATGCCTCTTTTATACCTTGCTCCCGCTTTTCTTGAACCTTAGCCTGTTCGACCACTTGCTTGTTTAAACCAAACTTCCTAGCTTTATCCAACAACCAGGCATTTTGAATTGCCTCATCTCCATGATGAAACAAATGCTACAATAGACATGTCACTGGCGAAAAGACTCTTCCAAGTACCATCTGTAGTCCATAAGGTGAACTAATCTTCATAACACCGCTAGATAGTTATTTCTATCATTTTAAAAATTTTCCTCAGGAAATGATGTCGTTCAAATCAAGTCACTGGTAATCTTCCCTCTAATTTTCTATTGATGATAATATTGATGGCAAGAATCTGTTCTCTGTTCATTTATAAGTTGTCTTGTCGAATCTCCTCAATGACTGATACATTCACATGAACCTTCAAAACTTGTAATGTTTCAAAACGTACCTAGCCATAATCCTAGACAACAAATTCTTACTCCTATTGTGGTTGGAATCTCAATGAGATTAGTATTTGAGCAAACCTTTATTTATACATGACTATACACAGACAACCAATGCAAATATACTCTCAATATTCACAAATAAAAATATGTCAGTATTTTATATCACTCACTTAACTACAAATGTAAATCCACATGACTACCCCTGTGGACAACATCTTTAAGATGTATTCCCACCAGGCCAAATACACACAATCCGAAGACCATTTTTCATGTTCGACCCAGGGGTCATCATCTACTTCACAATTCTTGAGAACGAGACCACATTGAAAACATTTGTAAGCGTCCCCTCTGATTAAGTACACAAATCCTGCCTGGGCCATTTAACTAGGAGTCTATTTCATCTGCACAGGCCAAGACTGAAAGGAATTTAACGGTTCTCGTTTGAGTTGTAATCAGATGAGGGTTACTGTCCATACACAGGTCTTGGTGTCCACATACATCAGCTTCCAGGTCCAAATGACAACGAGGACCTTGTACCTCTGGCTTGTCGGTAGGATCAGGAGTGTCACGACACAACAATTGCATACCTTGTATCTCTCTGCATGCCTCCAAAGCTCTGCAGAAGAGAGTGTAAGCTTGGGGACCACGTCTAGGCAAGATAGACAACGCAGTCACAAGAGGTGTGAGGTTTTCGGATAATTTCAGCCTTCATAAAACACGTTAGGACTTTAAACTGCACCAGTTTATCGACCACTTCTTCTACACGTTATGTAGCTTTCACTAGTCAAAAGTGATTCTTCCTGAGAATATCATGATGAACTGCTTCGATTTTCTGTCTTCAAGGTAAACAAGCAGCAGAACCAGTAGAGCCTAGAGCTGAGAAAGATTTTCAAACACTGTTTTGGGACCTTATATTACCCACCTGAGTCCAGAAATAGTAATTTGAGTCATAGTCTGAATATATCCTGTTACTATTCTAAAAATAGACTCTAACATGAGACCAGGTGTTGATGACGTCATAAAAACAAAATTGCCGTCTTGTCGTGCTACTTACCTCTGGTTACAACATATATCCATAGAATTCTCCTCATTGATCATCACACCAGATTCTAAATGCTGCTCAAAGAAGTCACAGCGAGATGTTGGTACATGTGGAAGAAAGTAGTTCTTCTTTTGATATGCTTAATATTTTAACACGGGCCTGTAAAGGGTGATGTTATTAACGAACGTGTGCCTTGGTGCAATTTAACTGCGGAGTTTAACACACCACTGCACATAACACTTGCCACAATTTGGGTCACATTCTTACAAACACAATCTTAAACTAAATACTCACAGTGTTAAAGGAAACTCTATCCTCACTACGTTCTGCAATCACTCCAGTCCACAATCAACCTAACCACCCATATGAAAACTAGCGTGTGTATTGTAGTGCCGGCCTGGCACGATCTGAGAGGAAAGCTTGTCAGTAGGGTATTTTCAATCGGTTTCAATACACCACTATACATGCCACTGGGGTCACCTTATCTGCATTTACATTGTGCTGTTATGTCACGGTGCAATACGTTGTGCAACAATATGTCGACTGTTTGCTCAATGTGATATTCAGTGAGGAGAAAGTGGTGTTATATTTAGACATAGCATCTCCGATAATCCGATAATGTGAAGCGTGATCCAGAAAGCTTATTATGGAAATGTCTTGACTTTTTCTTGGGTATATAAGGGGAGTCAGATATTGCTTTCCCCTTGCATTACATCACATGCAACGAGATGAACAGCAGTGTAAGTGAAATTTTTGTGTGATTTGTATTGATCTGTGAACGTAGTCAATTCTAAAATACAATTGTTAACAACATCAAATCACAATACATTTAGACGCAATAGCTGACCCTGTGTGCTGTCTTGGTGAAGTTACAGAGTATCTCTTGCAGTAAGGATGCATATGAGACTTTAACAGTTCTTGATAGTATTTTCACTTTAGTAATAGATTTACTTTGTTGAAATGATAACGCATCAAGGTTGCAACATATGTCATTTTGAACACAAAGTCAAGACTCCCAGTACGTAGCAAAGACATATGTGAACATTTTGACCAATACTGACAGAAATAGATGGGGTTTACATTGGTTTAAAAAATTATTCGAGTGGGGGTAAATACCCCACGTTATGAATTAAAAATACTAGAAATCAATTTTGTTCTATTTTGTGACACTTTGTTGGACAATTCAGGTGCTCAATCCATTCACTCTGTTTTGAACTAAGCTTCAGTGGATACCTGTACCATCATGAACTGTCTCATCACTACGCGTCACAGTGAAGTGAAGTGAAAAGGGTTGCTGTCAAAATTATTGTTTCTGTCCATCTGCGTACTTCCGCTGCATGCCTGTGTCTGTTAGGCTGCAAGGGCATAAGGACAAAGTGAACGTTTTACCATGGTTATGAAAGGACAACAAACCTGGGCACAATATATTAAAATATGTATTTCTGAATAAAGCAAAATAGGTCTGGTTACATTAATTACGTTAAAACACGTCAAAATAAGATTTCATTATATTGTCTTGCAGATCAGTGATATTATTGCAAGTATTTCAGCTGCATTTACATTTGAGAAAGAACATATGTGACAGTGAATTATGGCAAATTTACAGGTGAATCATTTCAGGTTTAAAAGCAAACTTCAAGAGACATTGAACATTTCAGTCCAAAACAGAAACTAAGAAAATAACAAAGGCCTAGTTTCTAAACACGAGCAAACAAAAATTGGAAATGCGATGTGATAATTTTACAAGCTCATACAATTAACACAAAACTCAGCTTACTTCTTGCACTAAGTCATACAATCTCCAACTATTTACAGATCAGATAGGCAAGTAATGCGTCAAGTTCACTCCTAAATCCACCATGAAGAAATATTCGTTAGGTTTCTCAATGGCTCAAACTATCACCGACAAAACCTCTGTCACAACTCGCATAAAATATTGGTTGTCTGACTTTATCATTAGCCTGTGTCCACGAATCACTATCAAATACTGCGATATGGCTGAAATATTGCCGATGTGACGTTAAATGTTAACTCACTCACTCAATATCAAATACTGATGATAGGAGGTGTTTACGTGAAGGTGATCCCACCATTATAACCATTACAAAGGTACTCGTTCTCCTCAGCATCGCTTTTGTCACTAATGATGCCTGTATAAAGGTAAAGTTTGCGGACATCTTTGAAGCAGGTACTATCCACAACCACACTGTAACCTACAGGCTATATACTATAAATCGACCTTGCACCCCCTTGAAAGTGGTAGTGAATGAGATTTCCTTCGATGTTACTGTTCACCGGACATCCGTTTCTCAGCTGGTGTTATATATTTCACATGAGTTGTCTGGTCACCGACACAGTTATCCCTCTCTAGGTGTGTGTACGACTGGTTGTCTTCTGAAGAACCATCTGAAGATACGTCACTGTGTGTTCCACTGCCGTCAGCTTCCTTAAGCAGTTCTGCCAACGGAGGAGTAACGTCATTCGATTCAGGCTCAGTGGAGTCACATTCTTGGTCCACATCTTCATCGCAAATTTCGTAATATCTATTTGACGGAGGTTGATACTCTACTGTGTAGATGTCTGCTTCATTGTTCCTGTAGATTAATTGAACAAGTTGTTGTAATTAGTTTCAAAATACCTAACAATATGAAAACATACTGGGTAAATAGTTGTACGGAACACTGGTGTTCATCATTCTGTACTGTCATACGTGATAATCCGATTCGGAATTCTTCTACTACTTTGCAACTCATGCTTGTCGTAAGAGGCAGATAACGAAGAGATATTGATTGGCTTTAGTAGACGTGGTTGATGCATGGCATCGCATTCCTACTGCGTAGCTCAGTGCTCATGACATCAACCACTAGATTATCTTCTCCAATCTGATTAATTGCAAACTGCCCTTATATATCTAAGATATTCTTGAGTGTTATGTAACAAAATATACATTGTTATTGTGTGTTTTATGCATCGGAGTTAGTTCTGTGTCCATTCTATGATATTATGAGAGACAGCCAACGCAAGTCTGCAAATCGATTCATGCCATCTTAGATCAGTTGACAAAGTGTTGCCTCTCAAGCAAATTTTCTCCAACTACATTGCCGTGTAAAAAGCAAACGGCATGAACGTAAAAGTAGAAATATCAATAATGTTATGAGCTGGGATAAGACACCTGCTCCACTCACCTTCTCTTTGACCAGCATCTTACAAAACACACAGCACACAGGATGCCAGTGAGAAACATCACTGCTGACAGGCCTATTGTCATGTACTTGATGTCGAGCTTCGGTTGAACACCTACAGAATAACAAAACATCAACATATGGCTTGTCATGTCCAGTGAATAGTGAGTGAGTGAGTGAGTTAAATTTTACGCCGCACTCAGCAATATTCCAGCTATATGGCGGCGGTCTGTAAATAATCGAGTCTGGATAGGATAATCCAGTGATCAACAGCATGAGCATCGAACCGCGCAATTGGGAACCGATGACATGTGTCAACCAAGTCAGCGAGCCTGACCTCCCGATCCTGTTAGTCGCCTCTTACGACAAGCATGGGTTACTTAAGGCCAATTCTAACCCGGACCTTCACGCGGTGTCCTGGGAATAACAGACGTTACCACACAACATCAGTCAAAGTATGTGACGTTAAATTTTAACTCACTCACTCACTCAGTCAAAGTAAAAAGTCCATATTTAACACCACACAAGAACATATGCATTGCAATATATCACACGTACGAAAGCAGCGTTGTATTTTCTGAAACACTCTTGTTTGACGTATGCATGATTATGGACGAATAACTTCTTTGATTTCATTATATTATGTATAAAACATTTTTAGCAAGAAAACCTGATTAAAATGATTCTCTGATTATATTAAAGAGTATTATTACATGCTCACGCGGAAGACATACAAGGTAAGCATCTGTGAGACATCATTGTGGGCAGGTAGTTTAACATCTGCAGTCAGTATTATTTCATATTCATATGCAGCCGGATTGTTGTTTTCATAATAAAGAATTGTTTTCAGTAATTATGTGCTTAAATGTCTTACCTGAACATGTTCTGAGTTTAAGGCAGACCTCCAAAGGACAGTTTTTAGTACAGCTAGATGTGCATGTCTGGTCGGTATCATTACATCCTCTGACGCAAGTTCCATGTGTCCGACCACATACACCGTCAAGACAGACGTCACAGGAAATGTTACAAAATATACCATAATATCCATTGATGCAACCTTTCACACAAGATCCGTTGTTCGGGTAACAAACACCATGGATGCAGTTTTCAAAGCAGGAGCAGTCAGTCCCAGCATACGCTGGTGCACAACCAGCTGCACACGACCCTGACTCAGTACAGGACATATTTGCACACTTCCGGCTACATCGAGAGGAGCAGTTCTCACCATACCAACCATCATTACAACCGTGGATACAGTCTCCAGTGTTGTTGTCACACTTGGGGATGCAATTGATGGATGCATTTTGGTCACATTCCAAGACAGAAACTGCAGTTTTGTTGGGCCCAGGATGACAGTTTTCACTGCACACCTTATCACACCAATGACCATAGAAGCCAGGTTTACAGCCTCTGTCACATCCAGACAGACAAGATCCTGCACACTTCTCACATGATATCTCACAGTTCAGACCCCGGTATGGATCATGGCAAACGTCACACATCCCTGTAGACCTGTTACATGACTTACATCTCTCAGAGCAGTCCTTACATTCAAGGCCATAGAAGGAGTCGACACATCCAGAAACACAGGATTTAGAACTGAGCCTGCAGTATCCTTCATCACATCCACCTTCACACACCGTACACTGCGTCCCAGGCTTGTGGCATGGTATTGTGCAGCTTGTACCTCTGAAGCCTGGAACACATCCCTCCGCGCAGTTTTCGACGCCCATCTCTGTGAGTTCACACAACCGATTTTTACATCCGCTGTTGCACACTGACGTGCACTTCCTACCATAGTATCCAACCTCGCATGGTGCCGAGCAGTCTCCATTACTGTCACAGTCGGGGCAGTGCTGGCCATTGTCGCATGGTTTTGCTGAAAACAAAGAATAATACAATCAATATTTAGATCCGTACGAGGCAAAAGCTGAAGCGTAACACTGACACGATGAAGGTAGGACTGATCAGTTATTTTTGACATAATGTTTCGTGAGATATGTATGTTTTCGTCATATCTACGCTTCATATGTTTTATGAAATGTGAACGAGCAAAATGAGTTGGTTAATACATTGTTGTTTTCGCATAAGATATTACAGTGAAGCTTCTTTGTCTCTGACCCATGTGGTATATGGTTGTTCGATTGTTCGACCTCATTGTTTGACAAACCGACTGGACAGCGCCATTGCTTGAACACACACAAGAGGGTTAAATTGATCCAAAACGCGCAGGCATGCACGCGCGCACGGACGTACGCACACACAAACACACACCCACTAATCACATCCCCGTGGCAGATACATTTTCCCTATAGTCCTCATATATACTAATCTTTTGATCATTTGATGAAACAATGAAGACGTTGTGAACTTACCTCGTATAACCATTACAGTGAGTGCTACACACAGAGTCACCAAAGACGCCATGAAGTGTCTGAAGACAGAAAACAATGTAAGGCGAGAGAGGAACATCTCCAGTGTGTGTGTATCCAGCTGACTGATGTAGCCTAATGTGTGACCACCAGTCGCGGGATCAGAGTTATATTGCCGGTTAACTGTAATCTTCCGTTTAAGAGGGAAATAGAAATTAACCATCCCAAGTGTAATACGTGCGAGCTAATGAAAAACGGTTTATTTTTATTAGTTTTGCTTTTACACTAAAACATCAATATTATTCGACTTTGTTGTAGCTGGTTCAAAATATACATCCATACTGAGAGAGGTACTTCATTCGACCTGCATCATGTCGAGTTTTTTCCACTCTTACGAAGCTGTCAGTTGCTGGTGATCTATAGCCCGGTTTTCATATTGTACTATTGTTTCTAGCAATGTACTTTTATGATAGCGTATTAGTTTTAAATTGAGAACTGTGATAATTTAGTATTTTTACCGTCCTTCGATTGCAGGTTTTTACGTTCTAAATTTATTGATTTTACTATTGATATAAATTAAATTGTTCTCGTCACGATTGTCGCCTACAGCCTTTTATTTCCCTTTTGTTTCACCAGAGGGCTGCTTCTCCACTGGCTATATGTAGAGAGCTGTACGTGCCACCCGTATTCGGCTAACCCGCCAAATCTCGTGCGTTTCATGCCTGTGACGTGTGACTTTCATGTCACCATCCGACCATGTGGGACGCACACAACATCTTTCTCATGTTGTAATGTTCGTATTTCACAGGCAATTGCAATTAACTGGTTGATATCGTAAGCGACGTTCCCCTTCTCATCAATTATTGTCCTTAGGACATCTCAAGACCAGAACCCGCGACAATTGACACCCGAACAGGGACGGGGTTCATCATAACATCGCCCTCAACCAGTGCCAACGAACCAAGAACACCCCCACGATATCATCACGACACCGTCACGGTACAGCTCACCTCGACGTCATCTTCAAGGATCGTCATATACGTGAGATTTGCGCTCAGTGATTTCGTGTGTGTATATATCAACTTCTATTTGACTGTGATAAGACACTTTACATCTTCTATATTCTACACCTTATCTGTGATATCCATATATACATGTGACACTCTAAAGAAGACTGTGATAACGTGTGATATCTGTGATCATCAGTGAGACATTTGGAGACATTCAGCTGCTAAAGTGCATTTTATATGTGACATTCCATTTATATCCATGAATTTGCTATATTCATAGCATTGATATCTGCATTGATTTCATGGATCAGTTGTATTCAGACTATTGACATTTGTCTACATGCCATAATATTGCATGAATGCATTGAATTTCGCATAACTGTGCAATATTTACATAACTTGGCTTCATCATATTAGTTAGATTAGTTTCATTAGTTAGATTAGTGTAATAAGTTAGATCAGTTCTATTTGTTAGATTAGTTTACATTAGTTGGACATTGTTCTACTAGTCACCAGAGACACAGAGTACAACAGGCGAGTACCACTAGTGATCGGAACCAACGTCATAGATCTTGTGGAGAGATTCTTGGTACCTGTAGGTAACACCATACCAGCCTCTTGGCTTACTGCCTTACGTTTACAAGCTAATGGAATCATTGGACAAGTAAGATCTACTAACAAGACGCCGATCAACCCTCAACCAAACCAGATGATGACCATCGATGGACTTGTGCGCCATCAGCCTGGAACAGCCACTGCTATCACCAAACACCATGACTTAGACTCTGACCTTTGGACACGACTCTCAGTTTGCCCAAGACTCGTTGAGATAGGTAAGCGAGATAACTCCTCCTGGGTTCCTGTTTGCATTTGACACATGTCAGCCAGGATCATCACTATACCGCCAAGACCAGACTCTGTCAGCTTCACGAGGTTTGAGTGCTCAGTGAAGTTCCTGTCGATGCTCTGCCAACAAAGACCAACACCAACCAGGAGACTCATACCTCACTAGTGGACTTTGACCTCTCGGACAGTTGTCTCACCGATGGACAGAGGGATGAAGCCTTGACAATGCTTTCAAGATGGAACTACATCATGTTGAAGAGCCTCATTGATTTGGGACACACCACAGCTGTGCAACATGAGATCAACCTCATTGACGATACTCCTTTCAAGGAACCTTACTGACGAACTCCACCTGGAATGTTTGAGGAACTCAGGGAACACCTTCATGAGATGTTGACATGTGGAGCCATTCGTGAGTCTCGTAGTCGTTTCTCGTCTAACATAGTTCTGGTGAGGAAGAAAGACAAGTCTCTGCGTCTATGTCTGGATTTTCGCCGGATTAACCATCAGACGGTTAAGGACGCCTATTCCGTCCCCAGGATCGATGAAACCTTAGATTGTCTGTCAGGAGCATCCATGTTTTCTAAGTTGGACTTACACTCAGGATACTGGCAAGTGGAGCTAAAAGAAGAGGACAAGCACAAGACTGCCTTTTTAGCGGGTCCACTCGGATCTTATGAATGCAATCGAATGCCGTTCGGACTGACCAATGCACCTGCCACCTTCAAGCGTCTAATGGAGAAATGTATGGGAGATCTCAACCTCAAGGAGTGTCTAATTTACCTGGATGACATCATTATCTTCTCAACTACATTTGAGGAACACTTGGAGTGTCTTGAAGCAGTATTCCAACGACTGAAAGACAACGGATTCCAAGTGTGAGTACATGTATGAGTACCTGTATGGAAACAAGTTCGAGGTCAAGACAGATAACAACCCTCTTACCTACGTCTTGACATCAGCGAAGCTTGATGCCACTGGACACAGGTGGCTCACTGCTCACTCAGCATACGACTTCATCATTACCTATCGTGCAGGCAACACCAACATGGACGCCGATGGATTGTCAAGAAGGCCAGATTACTCGGACAGCAAGGAGTCTCATATCGAACCCCATATCAAGGCCATCTGCCAAGTTCATTGCACCTACTGCATTGCTGCGGAAAGCTTATCTTGTGATGAAAAAGTTGTTTGCCCAGATGACATAAATCCATTGACCCCTACATCACTGTCCTGGAAGAAAGAACAACTCAGTGATCAACATCTTGGACGTGTAATCCATCTCATCAAGGAAGGAGTTAAGCTCACAGCACGTCAGTGGTCACTTGAGGATCCTACAGTGAGAGGATTACTTCAGGACAGGGACAAGTTGTTTCTCAAGGATGGGATCTTGTTCAGACGAATCAACAACATCGAAGGTATTGAACATCAGCTAGTTCTACCAAGGAACAAGATACAGGAAATACTTCAGTCTCTCCATGACAACTCAGGACACCAGGGACGCGACAGAACTCTCCATCTTGTGAGATCAAGGTTTTTCTGGACTGGAATGTCTGAGGATGTCGAGAAGTACATTAAGAAGTGTGGTAATTGTGTCTGATGCAAGTGCAAAACCACTGTGAAAGCCGCATCACTTATAAGCATCCACACTTCATGGAACTTGTCTGTTTGGACTATCTCAAACTCGAAGAATCCAAAGGAGGCTACGAGAATATCCTTGTGATCACGGATCATTTTACTCGCTATGCTATTGCCATCCCAACTCGTAACCAATCAGCCAAGACCACAGCGAGAGTACTGTTTGACAATTTTCTAGTACATTATGGATTCCCAGCTAAACTCCACAGTGACCAAGGGAGGAACTTCGAGGGCAACATCATCAGAGAACTCTGCCAACTTACTGGGACAAAGAAGACAAGAACGACGCCATATCACCCTCAAGGTAATGGTATGACGGAACGTTTCAACCAGACTCTGATGAATATGATTGGTACCCTGGATGAAGAGAAGAAGAGTGACTGGAAAACTTATGTACCTGCTCTCAACCCTCAACCAAACCAGATGATGACCATCCATGGACTACGAGTCATGAGTCACGAGAGTACAGGATTCACTCCCTTCTACCTCATGTTTGGACGACACCCTCGACTCCTAGTGGACACCTTTCTTGGATTCGACCTTGGACAAGGACAAGCTACCTGTACTCAGTACGCTAACAACCTCAAGAAGCGGCTACAGTTTGTGTACAACATAGCCTCCAAGGAATCTAGGAAGGCAGGGCAACGCTACAAACAACATTACGACAAGAAAGTGAGAGAGTCCTTTCTACAACCAAATGATCGTGTTCTGGTGCGACTTGTCGGACTTACAGGAAGGAACAAGCTTGCCAACAAGTGGGGAAAAACGTCTATGCCATTGTGAAACAACCCAACAAGGACATTCCTGTCTGCACTTTGAAGCAAAAGAGTGGCCAGGGGCCGATGAAGACTCTCCACCGCAACATGCTCCTGCGACTGGAATCTGTTTCCCTCCAACAAGACATGCCCGACAGCCTTCTATTTCCCGTTTACTTCACCAGAGGGCTGCTTCTCCACTGGCTATATGTAGAGAGTTGTACGTGCCACCCGTATTCGGCTAACCCGCCAAATCTCGTGCGTTTCATGCCTGTGACGTGTGACTTTCATGTCACCATCCAACCATGTCGGACGCACACAACATCTTTCTCATGTTGTAATGTTCGTATTTCACAGGCAGTAAACTGGTTCATATCATAAGCGACGTTCCCCGTCTCATCAATTATTGTCCTTGGGACATCTCAAGACCAGAACCCTCGACACGATATAGCTGCAATATTGCCGATGTGACGCTAAATATTAACTCACTCACTCACTCTTACGAAGCTGACACTCCCCATATAATAGTAATGCTGCTCAAATGGTTATGGAACAAACTTTGACTCACAAATACAAACTTACTTATCACATATTAAACGTGAGAAGTACATAAATTGCGGATAACATTAAGACAGCTGTGAGTTCACTACGGTCAAGCCGCTTGACTGTATTGATTTTCTCATCACAAGGGATAATTATTTTATAGCTTCATCTATGAAGGTTACTTCATTTACAGTTAGTTTTCGTTTTATTGTTCACTTTCAAAACAAAAAGAATTAATTACAAATTTGATTGATATGTCTTGTAAATTAA